GTATTCATGCGACAAGTTTCACCGAGCTTGAGAAGACGATGAAAAAATTCTGGGAATTCGAAGATTTACCGTTGTGTTCGTCAAAGTGCGACGAAGATGAAATGGTTGAGCAAATGTTTATCGAAGGGCATTCACGAGATGAGACAGGTAGGCATACGGTAACAATTCCAATTAAGCCAACAGTGCAAGAACTTGGCAGTTCGAGAGAGGCAGCGCTTCGGCGTTTCTTTGGATTGGAAAAGCGATTTGCACGCGATCCGGCCTACAGAGCAGATTATGTTGAGCGAATAAAAGAGAATATAGCTAAAGGGTATATGATGGAAGCGAATATTCATCCGGAGCCGGGTGAAATGGTCTACTATATTCCTCATCATGCGGTGTACACATCCGGTAAATTCCGAATAGTGTATGATGCCAGCTGCTTAACAAATAAAGGCATATCTTTGAATGATGCGCAATTTGTTGGGCCGAAATTGCAGAGAAATCTGTACGAAACCATTATGCGTTTTCGTCGGCATAAAGTTGCAGTGAGTGCGGATATAAAATCCATGTATTTGCAAGTATGTATTAATCCAAAGCAATGGAATTTGCAGCGCATCTTCTGGCGAGAGAGTCCAGCCGATCCGCTCAAAGAATATTGGTTGGTAGTAGTCACTTTTGGGCTATCGTCATCAACATATTTAGCTGTGCGAACAATGTTGGAAGGCGCAGCAGAATTGGAAAATGAGTATCCGGAGGCAGTGCACGCCATTCGAAATGATTTCTATATGGATGACTGTACCACCGGTGCGAGTGATGAGCAAAAGGCCGTTAAATTGGCAAAAGAGATGAAATTAGTTTTAGAGAAATCTGGTTTTCCTCTGTGCAAGCGGCGTTCCAATAGTGAATATTTAGTGCAAAAACTCGAAGGCGAGCATTCGTCGGTATCGTTTGATGAGAATAACGAAACTGCGGTGCTAGGCCTGAAGTGGATAACTACTACCGACGAGATAACATACGAAGTGCGCGAACCGGAAATGAGCAAGGAGCTAACGAAACGATCAATTCTTAGTAAAATCGGTCGTTTGTATGATCCGAATGGATTTATAGCGCCAATAATTACATTGACTAAGTTATTGATGCGTGATTTATGGAATTTGAAGGTGGATTGGGATGAGCCAGTTCCACCAAAATATGCAACCGAATGGAATGCGATTTGGAGCCAAATATTGCATTTGGAAAAAATTCGAATTCCGCGTTGGTTTGGCATGAGCAGCGATGTGCAAGTGCAATTGCATGGTTTTGCGGATGCTTCGGGAAAATGCTACGGGTGTAGTATTTATTTGAGAATTGAGGATTTGAAAGGACAAATTCGGTGCGATTTGATCGCTTCCAAATCGAAAATTGCGCCGCAAAAAATAAAACCAGAGAAAATTCCGAAAGGAAATGAACAATTAAACGGGGTGTCAATACCACGGTTGGAATTGGCGGCTGCAGAGCTATTGAGCCGATATTTTTCCATCGTAAGAGATGCGATGGAATTGCAAAATGTACCGTTTCGTTTGTGGACAGACAGTAGCACAGCGCTGCAATGGATACACAAACCGGTGCATGAGCTAAAGGTGTTTGTTGCGAATCGAGTAAAAAAGATTCGTGAAGTGAGCACCGAGAGAGATTGGTTTCATGTGCGAACCCATGATAATCCGGCCGATCTTATCAGCCGGGGAGTGCCACCGAGCGGCATAGTGCAAAATAATTTATGGTGGCACGGACCGCCATGGCTTTCGAAGCTACAATCCGAATGGCCGGAGCCTTTGAATATTCGTGCAGTGAAGCCATCAATTGAAATGCAAGAAGAGATAAAAGCATTTAGAATGAACGCAGTTTCAGTGCGAAACAAAAAACTTGAAGTATTTGTGCCGCAAATGAAAGAAGGAGTACCGTTGATCGATTATTCCAACGATTTGAGTAAGTTGACGCGCATTCTTGCTTTTGTGATGCGTTTTATTCGAGTTTGTCGTGATAAAACTCGAACCAAGCCTAAACAAATTGTAAGCCTTCAAAAATTGAATGGAAATTGGAGCCAGATGATTGGGCTAACAACAGAAGATGAGCGAAGAGCTGCACTGAAATATTTCATAACGGAAGAGCAAAAACGTTCTTTTCCGTTGGAATATGAGCATTTCATTGAGAAAACCACCAATGAGCCTAAATCAGAATTTCCAGCGAAGAGCCATTTGTTAGATTTGCGCCCATTTTTGGATAAAGATGGAATTATCCGTGCCTGTGGTCGATTGGGCGGTTCGGATTTACCATATGATGCAAGACATCCAGTAATCATTCCGTCAAAATCTCGCTTGAGTTATCTCATTGCATGGGAAGCGCACAGTGCAACGAAGCATGGCTCCATACAACTGATGCTCCAATATATTCGTGCGAATTATTGGATCCCGCGTTTGAGGCTGGAGCTGCGCTCATACTTAAGCAATTGCATAACATGCATTCGGTATGCTAAGCATTTTGAGACTCAACTAATGGCAGAGCTGCCAGCTGATCGTGTGAGGCAGAATCGTCCGTTTTTAATAACCGGAGTCGATTACGCTGGTCCATTTGAGCTATCAGAGCGATACAAAAGTAGAACAAGTAAGAGAAAGTGCTGGGTGGCAATATTTGTATGCATGGTTACGAGAGCAATTCATATTGATGTGGGAACGGATCTTTCAGCTGCCGCATTTATCGCATGCTTTGATCGTTTTATTGCGAGACGAGGGCATTGCAATAAGTTGTTCAGTGACAATGGAACATCGTTTGTTGGTGCTGAGAAAGAAATCAAATGTGCATTTCGTAATTGGACTTCTCCAGAGGTGATGGAGCATTTAAATAAAAAAGGCACCCAATGGGTGTTCATGAAGCCAGCAGCACCGCATCAAGGCGGTATTTATGAAGCGGCTGTTAAATCAGCAAAATGCCATTTGAAGCGAGTTGTAGGTACGAAGAGCTATACCTACGAACAATTGATTACATTTTTGGTGCAAATCGAAGCAGTGCTCAATTCGAGGCCGCTTTATGCGCTAAGCGACGAGCCGACCGATATGCAAGTAATCACACCCGGGCATTTTCTAATAGGTGAATCATTCATTTTGCCACCGCCAATTGCAGCACCGGCAAAATCGGATTATTCGCTGAAAAGAGTACGTGATGAGCAACAGAAAATGCTTCAAGCGTTTTGGAAGAGTTGGCAAGCTGATTATTTAGCTACATTATTACCAAGGAAAAAATGGTTATCGGAGCGACCATTTGAAACGGGCCAACTCGTTCTAATCAAAGACGAAAATTTGCCGCCAGCGCAATGGCAAATGGGGCGCATAAAAGAGCTAATTCTGAGCAAAGATGATTTAGTGCGATCGGTTGTGATATTGTTGCCGTCAAAGGACAATAAACAAAAAACGCTGGTACGGCCGGTTCAAAAGATTCGATTATTGCCGGTTGAACCAGAGCAAGAGCTGAAAAATGAACACTTAAACGCTGGAATTGTGAAATTCCATAAAATCGTCACTGAAATTGATTTTATGGAAACAAACCCGTGTTTGTTTGAGCAGAGAGAAATATGCTGAATGTTGTGGTTGAAAAATCAACAAGAGCAAGAAAAAACAAGCCAAATTCGGTTTAATTGTTATTGCAACATCGAGATTTACGAGCGTAAGCAATTCCAAGAAAAAACATCATGCCACAAGTCGAGCAAACTAAGTTACCATAGCAACAAGATTGTGCATGATTTGAGCGTGTGATCATCGGTTAACACAGAGCAGAACAACGCTTATATTGTATGCTGTTGTTTATAGTCCGT